AGGCATTTGATAAAATGCAACATTCTTTCATGATAAAGACTTTAGGCAAATTGTGTAAGATCCAAATCAGAGAAGGATGCCCATTTTCACCAAGAAAGTTTCAGCCAGAGCCAATAGGCAAGCAAAAGAAATCAAAGGGATATAAATTAGAAAAGAAGAAGTCAAATTATCCCAGTTTGCAGATGACGTGATCCTATATATATGGGAACCAAAGACACAACTAGAAAACTATTGGAACCCATAAAAGAGTTTGGTAAAGTGGTAAGATATTAAATCAATGCACAAAAGTCAATTACTTTGTATACACAAACAATATCATGGCTGAGAAAGAATTTGTAAGATCGGCCCAATTGACAACAGCTACAAAAATTTAAATACTTAGGAGGGGCCAGCGCGGTGGCTCAGTGGGTTAACCCCCAGGCCTGAAGCACCAGCATCCCATGTGGACGCCGGTTCAAAACCCAGCTGCTCAACTTCCAATCCAGCTCTCTGCTGTGGACTGGGAAAGCAGTAGAAGATGGCCTAAGTAATTGGGCCCCTGCACCTACATGAGAGACCTGGAAGAAGTTCATGGCTCCTGGCTCCTGGCTTCAGATTGGCACAGCTCCAGGCATTGCAGCCAATTGGATGGAAGACTTCTCTCTCTCTCTCTCTCTCTCTCTCTCTCTCTGCTTCTCATCTCTGTGTAACTCTGATTTTCGAATAAATAAATAAATACTTTTTAAAAATACTTTGGAATAAATTTAAACAAGGATGTGAAAAATCTCTATAATGAAAATTACAAAACATTAAAGAAACAGAATAAGACACAAAAAATAGAAAAATCTTCCAGGTTCTTGGATTAGATTAACATCATCAAAATGTCCATGAAAATTTTCCAAAGCAATTTAGATACAATTCGAACACAATCAAAATACCAATGACATTCTCCTCAGATTTAGAAAAAAATCACTAAAATTCATATGGAAACACGAAAGAACCTAAATAGCTAAAACAATCTCAAACAAGAAAAACAAAGCCAGAGGCATCACAATAGCAGATTTCAATATGTTCTACATGGCAGTTATAATCAAAACAGCCTGGTGCTGGCACAAAAATAAACATGTAGACCAGTGGAACAGAATAGAAACCCCAGAAATTAATCCGCACAACTACAACCAACTAATCTTTGACAAACTAGCTGAAATCAATCCTTGCAGAGATCAGTCTCTTCAACAAATGGTGGTAGGAAAATTGGATCTACACACACGAAGTATGAAAGAAGACCCCATACCTTACACCTTATACAAAAATCAACTCACAATGAATCAAGGATCTAAATCTATGGCCTGTTACTATCAGATTACTAAGGGAAGTTCAGGCAAACTCTGAAAAACATTGCATAGGCAGACATCTTGGAAAAGATCCCAAAAGCAAAAATAGACAAATGGGATTACATCAAACTAAGAAGTGGCTGCACTTGAAAGGAAACACTCAACAAAGTGAAGATGCAACAGACAAATTGGGAGAAAATATTTGTAAACTATGCAATTGATAAAGGATTCATATCCAGGAATTATAAAGAGCTTAAGAGATTCAACAACAACAAAACAAACAATCCAGTTAATAAATGGGCAGAAGGGACCAGTGCTGCGGCATAGCAGGTAAAGCCACCGCCTCTGTGCTGGCATCCCATATGAGTGCTGGTTCAAGTCTCAGCTGCTCCACTTCTGATCCAGCTCTCTGCTATGGTCTGGGAAGGCAGTGGAAAATGGTCCAAGTCCTTGGGCCCCTGCACCCACATGGGAGACCCAGAAGAGGATCCTGGCTCCTGGCTTCAAATGGACAAAGCTCCAGCCATTGCAACAAACTTGGGAGTGAACCAGCAGATGGAAGACCTCTCTCTCTCTCTGCCTCTCCTTCTGTGTGTAACTCTGCCTTTCAAATAAATAAATCTTTTTTAAAAAAGAAATGGCAAAGGACATGTTCAGGAATTTTTCAAAGGATGAGATTCAAATGGCCAACAGACACATGAAAAGATGTTTGGGATCCCTACCCATCAGGGAAAGACAAATCAAAACCACAATGAGATTTTACCTCACTCATGTTAGAATGGCTAACATCCAAAAATGAAAAATAATAAATGCTGGTGAAGATGTGGGGGAAAAGGTTTTCTATTCCACTATTGGTGCGAATGTAAACTAGTGCAGCCATTGTGAAAGACAGTATGAAGATTCCTCAGAAATCTGAAAATAGAAGTACCATATGATCCAGCCATCCCACTCCTGGGAATTTACCCAAACTAAATAAAATCAGTTTATGAAAGTTATTTGTGCTTCCCATGCTTATTGAAGCTCAATTCCAAATTGCTAAGATATTGCATCAACCCAGATGTCCATCAGCCGATGACTGGAAAAAGAAAATGTGATACATAAATGTGTGTGTGTGTGTGTGTGTGTGTGATATATATATGTGATATATGTATGTATGTATGAATACAACTCAGCCATTAAAAAAGGAATGAAATCTCGTCCTTCACAACAAAATGGTTGCGACTGGAAACCATTAAGCTTAATGAAATAAGCCGATACCAAAAAGACAAATACCGTATGTTTTTTCTGATATGTGTCAATTAGTATACAATGCAAAAAATGTGTAGGGATGAAATGGACATTCTGTGATAGGATTGTTGCTTTTAGCCAGTGTATATAATCTTGTGGAACTAGAGTACCAATTGTTGAATATTATGGTTAGTGGTGAATTAAGCCTGTGATTATAGAATGGATTAAAATTATGTTTTTGCAAAAATTAAAGAAAGGAAAGGAGGAGGAGGATTTAGGGAGGGAGAGGGAAGGCAGGGAAGTATGGTTATCTTCTTAGAATTGTACTATGGGAGCCAGCGCTGTGGCACAGCAGGTTAATGCCCAGGTCTGAAGTGCTGACATCTCATGTGGGCACCAGTTAGAGATCCGGCTGTTCCACTCCCTGTCCAGCTCTCTGCTGTGCTGTGCCCTGGGAAAGCAGTAGAAGATGGCCCAAGTCATTGGGCCCCTGCACCCTTGTGGGAGACCCGGAGGAAGCTCCTGGCTCCTGGCTTCTGGCTTTGGATTTGCACACCTCTGGTTGTTGTAGCCAACTGGGAAGTGAACCAGTGGATGGAAGACCTCTCTCTCTGCCTCTCTTCTCTGTGTAAGTCTGACTTTCAAATAAAATAAATAAATATTTTTAAAAAAAGAACTGTACTATGAAATACATAAAATCTGTTCTCTTCATATATTAATAAAAAATTTAAAAGTGTAAGTATTTGAAAGAAGAAAATCATCAAACTTTTTAATCTTTAAAAAATGAAGGAGAAATAATGACTATCTCAGCTCATAAGAAAACAATGGAAATTGTCACTAACAAATCTGCTTTGCAAGAAAAATTAACAATTCTTTAGAAAAAAGGAAAGGGATATAGGTGAGAAACTCAGATACACATGGAGATAGGCAAAGCTTTAGAGAAGCAATAAATGAAGGCAAAACAAATACGTGCAACAAAACAGTCATGCTTCCCTCAGAAAGTCCTCCTTGCTCAGTCCAGGAGCTCCCAGGTGGCCTTTGCTGCATGGAGCTCACTCTGCCTGCATCCTGACACTGCAAAGGGGTCAGCCGCATGTCCCCTGTGCCGGACATAATGGGGCACCCAGCATTTGATGGATGGATGAATGGATGAATGAATGAATGGCAAAGCACTCCCAACAACAACAGGATGGGTGGTTAAATAGCACATCTCTTTATTAGTGTTCAGAGAGAAGATTCCAGTGCTGCCGCTGTCACAACGAAGGGCTCACCCACTGGAGTCTGCACAAGTCTAGGCACTCTTCAGGTCATGCAGGAGATGGAAGTTTCCTCTGACACAGGCTGCTCTTGACCCTGAAGAGCTTTGCCCTGGAAAGCAGAGAAATGCCCAGAGGATGTGTCCTGGGGATGTGATGCCTCCCTCCTCCAGCCCTGCTGTTCCCAACAGCCACAGAGCTTGGTCTAGAGAGCAGAGACCCACAAAAGAAGAGACCGTGGAGTATCAGACTGGGGGCCGGCTGTCTCTGCAGGTCTGCAAGCTGCTGACGCTCCCAGAACCTCCGACACCTCTTCTCTGGGACTATTAGCCAACAAACGAGGTGGAGTTCACCCTGTGCTAGATACCATCACCCCAAGACAACCCCCTGAAGTAGACGCTCGTATTCCAGACAAAGAAACCGAGGCACAGCAGCAGGAAGAAACTGGAACCCAGCCTCTGCTCCCAGGCTTGGTCTGACCTCTGCCATCGACATAATGGGCATGAATGACGCTCTCCTCCCAAAAGAGTTTAGGAGTCAGGTGAGAAGCTCTGATCAAGCACCTCACATAGAGGGCTGACATACAGTAAATGCTCAGTGAATACCAGGATTACATCACCATCTTCCTTTTAAGCATGGGGAGGCCAACTCTGTCTAAATCACTCCTTTGGCTCCCACGACAGCCAGTGTAGACTCTGGCCCCATCGGGGCAGGGGTTCCTGTGGCACTGTCACTTGCCATGGCCTTCCACCCCTGAAGTCCCACACACAGCCACCACTGGGACCTCTAATGCCCGGCTCAATCAGAAAGGCCACATGTAACTCAATGTCCCCTTCCTAATTGGTGGCAGGTCCAAAACCCAAGATGCATCCTCCCTGACCGTAGGATCTTGTGACTCAAAGCAAGGCCTGGGAACTATTGGACATGTAATGTTGCAGGCTCCACCGCAACCAACTAGTCACTCAACGGTAGGCCTGTTAGCAACTGAGAAGCCGGTCTCTGACACCACAGTTAGGGCTAGGAGAGGCAGTGTGAGAGTCCAAGGCAGTTGCCTTCACTGTCCACCTTGGCCCCAAGTGCAGGAGCCTGATCACCAAGAGGGAAAGGCTAAACCTTGGTATCAAGTTCCCAGCAGGTGCACCCTCTCTCTCTCTCTCTGCCCAGGAGAACCACCTCCGCCCCACTACTCCTGCCACACACTCACCTGTTGCTCTTAGCATTCCGAATAAGAAGATCTGAAGCTGGGGTCCTGAGCTGAGTCACAGGTAATATGGGAGATGCTGCAGGGGACAGAGGAGAGGCCGAGGTGGAAGGGAGGCTGCCTGGGGGCAGGGGTTACCCAGACCACTGCACAGGGGCCAGGAGTGGACTGGCAGCTTGTGCCGTGGCTGTCATCACATGTGGGCCTAGAAGCAGAGTCCAAAGAAGAGGCGCTCAGCCTGGGCCTGTCTGTGGGTGGAGACCCCACACAAGGCTGACAAAGCCCCGCAAATGTGGAGCACAGGCAAGGACAGCAGGCCCAGGAACTGCTGTCCTGATCTTGGTGTGAGGACACTGTGAGCCCAGCAGCCCTTCCACCTGCCGGCCCTGTTGAGGAACACAAATCTCCTCATCCCAAACTGCTTACCTGCGCCTCACCTGCTCGATCCGTTCTTGCATGACGTCATTCGCCATCTGACTTGGAACTTGGAAGATTCGGGTATGGCTGCAAAACACCATGCAAACACTGGGGTCCCGGATAAAACTGCTACAGTTGGGCTCAAATGGGCTCTTGCCCATTACCACGAACTATAGCCTTGGAGCCTCAGAGAGGAAGGGGCTGAAGCCCTGGACCCTGCAAGTACATGGGACCCCTCAGATTGCCAAGTTTCCCCTATTCCCTAAAGTCCAAGGCCTAGCTCTGCTTCTCCAGGTCCTGCCCAGCTCAAGGGCAGTCTGAGCAAACAAACAAACTGCTGGAAACCTTCCCCAAGTGTCCCAGGCAGCAGAAGCCAGAATTTACATGGCCTGGTGTCCCCATGCTATGCCTGCCCAAAACATTTAACTTCCAGACACCGTATCTTTCAAGTAACTTAGCCCTTTGAAATGGCAGACGGTGTCTTATTCTTTTCTCTTCCAGAGCCTAGCAAACACTAGGTGCCCTGTATGCATCCATCCAGCAAATGAATGTTCAGTGCTGCTTCATAAAGGGATATGAGGGTATTTCAAAAAGTCGATGGAAAGTGGAATTAAAAGGTAAGTTGATTTGAGTGCAAAAAAATCTGGCATTGTTGCACAGCATGTTAAACTCCCACTTGTGACACTGCCATCCCATATTGGAGAGCCAGTTCCAATGCAGCCCCCTCTAAAGTGCCTGGAAAGCAACAGAAGATGGACCAAATGCTTGGGGGGTGAACTAATGAATGGAAAATTCTCATTCTCTCTCTCTCTCTCTTTCTCTCTCTCTCTCTCTCTGTCTTTCCCTTTCTCTCTCCTTCTCTTGTTCTGACTTTCAAATAAACGTTTTAAAAATTTGAAACCCCAGACCCGCCGGAGCAGCCGGACCCGCCAGACCTGCTGGAGCCACTGGAACCGCCTGAGCCGCAGAGTCTGCGCGCCAGCGCTGGAAGGGGAGGTGAGCTAAAATCCTCTCGGTAACCCGAGACATTGGTGGGGAAAGGCAGAAAAAGCCTGCAGAGAACGAGGCCTGAAACCCCACTGGGGAAAGTTCACCAGGCTGGCTGGAGGAGAGAAAAAAATCGAATAAATAAGGGGAACCGGCACGGACATTTAGCCTCTTGCTCCACTCACCTTGCAAAGCCGAGCAAGACAAAGGGCAGGCGCCATTTTACGTTAGTAAAGCGGTGTGCGCCATTTTGCATATGTAAAGCAGGTGTCTCTCATTAGCCAAGCAGAAAAACCTGACTCTGGTAAGCAAACGAATACCCACAGGGGCCAGATTTCATACATTAACTACTCTCAATTCCACTCAGCTGTGTGGAATTACTTCCCAACTGAGTCAAAAAAAAAAAAAGAGAGAGAGAGAGAGCGCAAGAGAACAATCAGGGTGAATCACCTTTGGCACACCCTTAACCCTGTAGAACCAGAACTCTCTGGCCACACCCATCAAAGCCTCTAAGGATCCATCAAAAGCAGTCCTCTTAATCTAGAGTCACAGTATAACGAGAAAACAAACAAACAAACAAACAAAGAATATCTCCAATATGACAAACAAATGCAAAAGCCGAGGTAACAAGAACAAGGAAGACACTATGATGCCCCCAAATGAAATAGACACCCCAATTCAAGATTACAAAGATGATGAGATAGAAGAAATGCAAGAAGCAGATCTCAAAAAATTGATAAGAACATTAAAAAGTTCTCAAAAACAAATTCTTGAACTACAGAATTCCTTAATGGACAAGATAGAAAATCTCTCTCGTGAAAATGAAATATTAAGGAGGAATCAAAATGAAATGAAACAACTAGTATAAAATGAAACTGTGATAGTGATGAGAAATCATAATGAAGTGAAGAATTCAATAGATCAAATGACAAACACATTAGAGAGCCTTACAAACAGAATGGGTGAAGCAGAAGAGAGAATATCAGACTTAGAAGACAGAGCACAGGAAAATATACAATCAAACTAAAAAAAGAAGAGGAAATTAGAAATCTAAAAAATATTGTCGGGAATCTTCAGGATACTATTAAAAAACCCAACATTCGGGTTCTAGGAGTTCCTGAAGGCATGGAGAGGGAGAAAGGATTAGAAGGCCTTTTTAGTGAGATACTAGCAGAAAATTTCCCAGGTTTGGAGAAGGACAGAGAAATCCTAGTACAGGAAGCCCACAGAACCCCTAATAAACACGACCAAAAGAGATCCTCACCACGACACATTGTAATCAAACTCACCACAGTGAAACATAAAGAAAAGATCCTAAAATATGCAAGAGAGAAACGTCAGATTATTCTCAGAGATCTCCAATTAGACTCACAGCAGACTTCTCATCAGAAACCCTACAGGCTAGGAGGGAATGGCGAGATATAGCCCAGGTACTAAGAGAGAAAAACTGCCAGCCCAGAATATTATATCCTGCTAAGCTCTCATTTGTGAATGAAAGTGAAATAAAGACCTTGCACAACAAACAGAAATTGAAAGAATTTGTTGCCACTCGTCCAGCCCTGCAAAAGATGCTTAAAGATGTGTTACACACAGAAACACAGAAACATGGTCATCAATATGAAAGAAGGTAAATGAAGGAAATCTCACACCAAAAGATCACAGGAAGTTCAAAACATATATCAGAAAATACCTTTGGCAAATGGCAGGGCAAAGCTACTACTTATCAATAGTCACATTGAACGTGAATGGCCTGAACTGTCCAGTTAAAAGACACATATTGGCTGATTGGGTTAAGGAACAAAACCAATCTATTTGCTGCTTACAAGAAACACATCTTTCCAACAAAGATGCATACAGACTGAAAGTGAAAGGCTGGAAAAAGATATACCATGCCAACAGAAATGAAAAAAGAGCGGGCATAGCCATCTTAATATCAGACAACATAAACTTTACCACAAAAACTATTAGGAGAGACAAAGAGGGGCACTATATAATGATTAAGGGATCAATTCAACAGGAAGATATAACGATTATCAATGTATATGCACCTAATTACAGGGCACCAGTTTATTTAAAAGATTTGTTAAAGGACTTAAAGGGAGACTTAGATCCCAATACAATAGTACTGGGGGACTTCAATACCCCACTCTCAGAAATAGACAGATCAACAGGACAGAAAATCAACAAGGAGACAGTAGATTTAAACAACACTATAGCCCAAATGGATCTAACAGATATCCACAGAACTTTTCATCCTACACAGAAAGCATTTACATTCTTCTCAGCAGTACATGGAACCTTCTCTAGGATTGACTACATACTAGGCCATAAAGCAAGTCTCAGCAAATTCAAAAGAATTAGAATCATACCATGCAGCTTCTCAGACCATAAAGGAATGAAGTTGGAAATTAGCAACTCAGGAAACCCTAGAGCATATGCAAACGCATGGAGATTGAACAACATGCTCCTGAATGAACAATGGGTCAAAGAAGAGATTAAAAGAGAAATCAAAAATTTTCTGGAAGTAAATGAGGATAACAGCACAACATACCAAAACTTACGGGATACAGCAAAAGCAGTGTTAAGAGGAAAGTTTATATCAATAGGTGCCTACATCAAGAAATTGGAAAGGCACCAAATAGATGAACTTTCACTGCATCTCAAGGATCTAGAAAATCTGCAGCAAACCAGACCCAAATCTAGTAGGAGAAGAGAAATAATTAAAATCAGAGAAGAAATCAACAGGATTGAATCCAAAAAAAAATAACAAAAAATCAGCCAAACGAGGAGCTGGTTTTTTGAAAAAATAAACAAAATTGACACCCCATTGGCCCAACTAACTAAAAAAAGAAGAGAAAAGACCCAAATCAATAAAATCAGAGATGAAAAAGGAAATGTAACAACAGACACCACAGAAATAAAAAGAATCATCATAAATTACTACAAGGACTTGTATGCCAGCAAACAGGGAAACCTATCAGAAATGGATAGATTCCTGGACACATGCAACCTACCTAAATTGAACCAGGAAGACATCGAAAACCTAAACAGACCTATAACTGAGACAGAAATTGAAACAGTAATAAAGGCCCTCCCAACAAAGAAAAGCCCAGGACCAGATGGATTCACTGCTGAATTCTACAAGACATTTAAAGAAGAACTAACTCCAATTCTTCTCAAACTATTCAGAAAATCGAAGAAGAGGGAATCCTCCCAAATTCTTTCTATGAAGCCAGCATCACCTTAATTCCTAAGCCGGAAAAAGATGCAGCACTGAAAGAGAATTACAGACCAATATCCCTGATGAACATAGATGCAAAAATCCTCAATAAAATTCTCGCCAATAGAATGCAACAACACATCAGAAAGATCATCCATCCAGACCAAGTAGGATTTATCCCCGGTATGCAGGGATGGTTCAACATTCGCAAATCAATGTGATGCACCACATTAACAGACTGCAGAAGAAAAACCATATGATTATCTCAATAGATGCAGAGAAAGCATTTGATAAAATACAACACCATTTCATGATGAAAACTCTAAGCAAACTGGGTATGGAAGGAACATTCCTCAATATAATCAAAGCAATTTATGAAAAACCCATGGCCAACATCACATTGAATGGGGAAAAGTTGGCAGCATTTCCACTGAGATCTGGTACCAGACAGGGATGCCCACTCTCACCACTGCTATTCAGTATAGTTCTGGAAGTTTTAGCCAGAGCTGTTAGGCAAGAAAAAGAAATTAAAGGGATACAAATTGGGAAGGAAGAACTCAAACTATCCCTCTTTGCAGATGATATGATACTTTACCTAGGGGACCCAAATAACTCTACTAAGAGACTATTGGAACTCATAGAAGAGTTTGGCAAAGTAGCAGGATATAAAATCAATGCACAAAAATCAACAGCCTTTGTATACACAGGCAATACCATGGCTGAGGAAGAACTTCTAAGATCAATCCCATTCACAATAGCTACAAAAACAATCAAATACCTTGGAATAAACTTAACCAAGGACGTTAAAGATCTCTACGATGAAAATTACAAAACCTTAAAGAAAGAAATAGAAGAGGATACCAAGAAATGGAAAAATCTT